TTCACACATTCAATAAGAGTCCTGGCCTGAACACATCTAAAGGCCAATACTCTGTTATAATCATAGCGCCACCTGCTGGCAACAGGAAATGTCATGTCTTACACCAACTCAAACATACCATGTTCAATCTACACCAAACTTCATGTTTGATAAATGTCCTGGCCTGAAGACATCTACATGCCAATATTCAGTTATAGTCATAGCGCCACCAGCTGGCAGCACAAAGTTTGGCACATGTAAATGACTTTGACATATTCCTCCTATATTTACCACTTTAAATGCATATTGCTCACCATTCACTGGGACCCTTTCAACGCTGCTTGCAGCTTTAATTTAATTTGTAATTTCTATATTATACAACATGATTTGCATGTTAACAGTCAACAACAAAAAAAAAAAAAAAAATGCATTTATAATCTACATCTTGAATCATGAAAATTAAATACTTTTTAATTATTTAAAAAAATTGTTTTTAATTTATTCAGTTTATTTATATATTTATAAATACAATTTAAATATTTAAAAATAACATTTATATACTTATAATTTATCACAATTTAATTAAAATTTATTTAATTTTTCAAGGTACATTAACATTGTAATTTGTAAAATAAAATTATCATGAAAAATACTGTGAAAACTGTTAGGTGATGTTACCTAATGCAACTAATGGCAATGAACTGAACCTTACTGTAAAGCATAACCATGGTTTACTTAAAGTTGTCTCTGTACATTAAAATGGGATAAAAGAAAGTACTCAAAATCAGAAAAATCAGCTTCAGTCTTGTGTTTGCATGAAGCAGTCATACAAGGTGAACAAAACAGGACAATTACACAAATTCTCAATGCATTGGGATCAAAGTTTAATTGGGTAAAACGTGTAAGATGGTGAAGGACTAAAAGCAGGCTGTAAACACATCAAACACGGAGCTGCCGGTGCAGGACGCGTGACAGCCACATTCTCGCAGATCAATTATTCACAACAAAAACATAAAAGGTATTTGTAGACACACAACGAACACAGCTGCAACTGCAATTAAGTGGAATCCATGTAAAGATAAATGCTCAGGATTAAGGATGCACATGCCAGTGGCTGTGTTTGGAACAAAACACTAGCTTACTACTTATTGAGGACTTTACATATGGTTCACTGCATGCTATTTTTAAATAGTATGTAATGAAAATGCATTGCTGTTTTATATATATACACTGCAGATAAGTATGGTAGTAAGATATTCTGAATGCAGCCGATGTCTCGTCCTGCTGCATGTGAAGGGTTGCAATGGATTACCTATGCATGAGGGGAGCGGGTGGTCCCACGTCCGTCTCTCGCCCGTCATACATCTCAATATGCTGCTGCCATGGAGACTGTAGCCAGGATCACAGCGATACGTGACCACGCTGCCAGCAAAGTGGCCTTGGTCGCTGACTTTGGATCCAAATTGAGGCACACCGGGTTCGTCACAATGGGAAAGTTCAAAACCTGGAGGAGAAAAGCATGTGAAAGAGGAACATCAGTGGGTGTTTTCAAGTGCTCCCAGGGGGCGGTTTTAGGTTTTTTGAGATTTCAAGATTATTGCGATATGAAGGTCACATTAAAACATCTTTTAAAACTTCTTGCTTGGAAACATCTTACAATGCCTTCATTTTTTTTTCTTTATAACTTTTCTTTATTTATTTTTTCCTCATCTCAGTCCCATACTTTTAAACTTAAAACATGTCAATTTCTATGAAAATATGTTGTAATATTTTTTAAAATTAAAAATTAAATATAATAAAATTATTACTCCATATTATTTTAGTATCATTGATGGTTAATATTTAGAATTATATATATATATATAATTCTAAATATTAACTATCAATGATATTTTAGTAGTAAATTTTAGTAATTTTTGTGTGTTGGTCTTTTTTTTTCTTTTTTTACTCATATTTTACTATTTTACTATATTTACTACTTTACTATTATTATGATTCTTGTATTACCTCAAGTAATAAAAACAAGAAATGTTGTTATTAATCTGTATTAATCTGCATGTATGGGTTTTATTTTATTTAGATTTAGTTATTTTACTACTTATAGTAATAAAAAGTAATAAAAACAAGAAATGTTGGTTTGGCAACTAGATGAAATAACATGTTACAGATTTTTATTTTATTTTATTTGTTTATATTAAACCATTATTTAAAGGGTAATATTAAACATTTCAATATTTCTTGGATCAAAATAATTGATTATATACTTTTACAAAAATTCCTCACTTTGAACATTTTCATCACACACCGCAATTTATTCAAATGTTTTTGTACTTGATTATCAATGAGATTAAAGTACACTGTAAGTAAAAATCACAGTAAAAAAAACAGAACGTAAAAAAATATATACATTATTTAGGATAGTATTTACATAAATATTTAGTAGGATGCATAAAAAGCAAACATAAAACAAATTATGCTTAAATTACCAAAAAAATTGTGTCTATTCCACCACAAAATGTTATCAGACATCAGGAAGGAAAAAGACAAACCTAAATATATTAGAGAGAGTGTGAAATGTGTGTTTTAAGAATATTTACTTTCTAAACGTTAACATGATCAAAGGTGGCCACAGTTGAAGAAACACCCAACCGACGTGTTAGAGACCACCCAGCAATGTGTGGAATTACACCAAGCTGCTGGAGTTCAAAATACAGTACAAGACCAGAAGTATGTGCATCCAAACATGCTAGCTGAGCATTTAATTTCAAAACCATGGGTATTAATATGAAGTCGGTCCTTCCTACTGCTACTGTATAAAACTGTCCACTCTTCAGGAATGGTTTTCCACTAGATGTTGGAACAAGGATGTAGGAATTCACTCATTCAGACAAACCAGCAGTACTGTATGTGTAAAGCTAAAAGAGCAATAATCAAAAGGAAGGCCCAGATACTTTTGACCATTTAATGTGTAAAAAGAAATTTCAGAAGAATTGTTTTTCTGCTTCATAACAATCATATCAATCATTTCAACAAAGTTAACCTCTGAAATCAACTGAATTGCAGGGCTGCAAAATTGTCCCTGAGCCTCCAAATGAAGTTTCCCACTCTCTCCTTTCTGATTTGTACAATTATATTTTACAAGCAAACACAATTTCCTGTGTATTTCCTATGTCATATGCAATTACAGCGAACAGGAGCACAAATAATATCATTCCAACCATTTATTCCTAATCAGATCTTAACGAGAGAATGATACAGCTAATTAATTTATTAAAACTAGGTGTGGGTGAAAGAATCACAATCCAAGCCCACCAGGAGTTACCGTCCCAGCGGACCGACACACACGGCGTTATGAATTTCACTTTGAGTCTGCATAATGTAACCTTGTTATGCACATAAAACAAAGAAATAAGTCCACAGCCATAATAATATTCACATTGATATGAACATGCAGCCTGACAATACTGCGAGACAATAACATGAGCAATACCGTGCCTGCTAATTAAGACTTTACTGACAGGAGATGAAAATACAGGGGATGTTATAGACAGTTTATGGATAACCGTGGATTTATTCAGCTCTAGAATCTAGTTTTGTGTGAACACTCATATCAAATCAGACAGCACTAGCAGAATTAATCAAGAGAATATCGCAGTCATGTTATTGACACACAGAGAGTACAGTACTTTTGACTACTGGCATAAACTTTGCAGATTATTCTGCCCACTTCAACATGTGCCAGCCCACCACTACATGTGTAAGTGGGCAGAATAAGCTGAGAGTGTATGACAGACTTAACAACACTGGTTTTTATATACACTACTGGCCTTTGCAGATTATTCTGCCCACTTCAACATGTGCCAGCCCACCACTACATGTGTAAGTGGGCAGAATTATCTTATGTTCACCAAGGCTGCATTAATTTGATTAAAATACAGTAAAACATTAATATTGAGAAATGTTATTACCAGTGTTGGGGGTAACGCATTACAAGTAACACGAGTTACATAATCAGATTACTTTTTCCAAGTAACTAGTAAATTAACGCATTACTTTTTAATTTACAAGAGAATATCTGAGTTACTTTTTCAAATAAGTAACGCAAGTTACTTTTTTTTCCAATTTATTGATTGACAGCTCTCCTGTCCCCATGTTGAGAGAAATCAGAAGATGTTACTGTAGTTCAAAATAAATATGAATATGCATTAATTCATCTCACCCACAAAAAAAAAAAGATTCAGTATGTGACGAGTGGGGGCGGGGCCGAGAGCCGTGGGAACGGAGCGAGGCCAGTGGAGT